GATATAATCTGGAGTGTTGTTCAAAGAATGCATGATGTTGTAGTGAGATCATATATGCGTAGATTATTGTAACTCACCATTTGCTGCACAAATAAATTGTTGTTTGATTTCTTCCAGCTTTACACATACGTAAAGTCCCTTTTTGATTTTTGATTTGTTTCAACAAGTGATGTTTGTTTCTGATATGGTCTACAGGACATGGACAAATTCCAGCAACCTAAGGTATTCACTCATGTTCCTGACACCAAGAAAAACTAACTGCCAGTACCTGTTGAACTATTAGTTTGGTGACTAAGGTCACTTGTGAGACAGGGATGTGAGATTTCCATCTGTTTATTTTATCTTAGACAACTTTGTGACTAAGGTCACTCGTTGAACTATTAGTTTGGTGTTCGTGATGAATGTAATAAATATGTTAATGTATGACTTGTGAACCTGTTGATTGGTCATGAATGGAATATATTGTTGGGCCTACATATGTTAATATGGATTGTTTGTGCTGATGTGTGGGGCATGCGATGGTATGGATCAGGCCAAAGCAATGAGCCATCCTATGCGACAAGGTCTAAGAATTTGTGACATGAAAGCAAAGGTCATAAACGTTTGTGACTCCAAAGCCAATGTCATAATATTATGACTTGAACACATAAACGTCACAAGTTGTCATTAAAGACGCGCATCTTTTGACATATGATTTTTTGTCAACTTGGTGTCTTAAATGGTGATTTGTGACTTTATTTTGCATGTATTATGACATATATGAAATGACAAAAGATGGTATATTTCTTGTAGTGAGGCCCTTTGCCTGGCTTCATCTGAGGCACACCGGTGAGCCACCACTTACACTGAGGCATAGGGTGATCCGACATGGCGGGCGGCGATGGAGCAGGAGCTCAAGTCCGTCGAGCAGAACCGCACCTGGGAGCTAGTGCCACTGCCTGACGGCCACCGCCCTATCACCCTGACATGGGTGTTCAAGCTCAAGAAGGACGAGCTGGGTGTGGTGATCAAGCACAAAGCGCGGCTGGTGGCGCGCGGCTTCGTTCAGCAGAAGGGGATCGACTACGATGACGCCTTCACCCCCGTGGCGTGCATGGAGTTAGTCTGTGTCCTCCTCGTGCTGGCGGCTCAAGAGGGGTGGCAAGTCCACCACATGCACGTGAAGTCCGCCTTCCTCAACGGCGACCTCAAGGAGGAGGTCTACGTTCGCCAGCCACCTGGCTACGCAGTCGCCGGAGAAGAGGGGAAGGTGTACCGCCTGCGCAAAGGCACTCTATAGCCTGCGCCAGGCGCCGCGCGCCTAAAACGCGAAGCTCGACGCCACACTCAAGAAGATGGGCTTCAAGCAGAGCGCGCATGAGGTGGCGGTGTACCGGCGGGGCAGCGGACGCAACGTTCTACTAGTCGGCGTCTACGTCGATGACCTCATCATCACCGACGCTGAAGAGCAAAAGGTGGAGGTGTTTAAGGCGCAAATGAAGATGGCGTTCGACTTGAGCGACCTCGGCCTCTTATGCTTCTACCTCGGCGTCAAAGTGCGCCAGGACGGCACCGGGATCGCCCTCCGCCAAACCCACTACGCCAAGCGCATCCTCGAGCTCAGCGTCATGACAGGTTGCAATCCAGTCCATACCCTGATGGAGGAGAAGCTCAAGCTGAGTTGGGAGAGCAAGGTGGAGGAGGTCGATCCAACCCATTATCGGCGGCTGATCGGGAGCTTGCGCTACCTGGTCCATACTCGGCCGGACTCGCGCTCGCCGTCGGGTACATGAGCCGGTTCATGGAGCAGCCAACGATGGAGCATTTGCAGGCCGTCAAGCGAATCCTACGCTACGTGGTGGGCACCCTCGACTACAGTCTTCACTATGGAAGGGCCCCCAACACGGCGCGGTTCGTCGGCTACTGTGACAGCAACCTCGCTGGCGATGTGGATACCAGCAAGAGCACAACTGGGACGATGTTCTTCCTCGGTGATTGCTTGGTCAGCTGGCAGTCCCTCAAGCAGAAGGTGGTGGCCTCTCAAGCTATGAAGCGTAGTACATCACCACCACCACTGCCGCAACACAGGCGCTGTGGCTGTCAAGAATGCTGGCAGAGCTCCTTGGCAGGAAGGTGGATGTGGTTGAGCTGAAGGTGGATAGCAAGTCTGGTCTAGCTCTGGCCAAGAACCCTGTCTTCCATGAAAGAAGCAAGCACATCCACATCAAGTACCACTTCATCAGAGATTGCTTGGAGGACGGAAGCATCAAGGCCAGCCACATTGCCACCACTGATCAGCTGACTGACATTCTCACCAAGTCGCTGGGAAAGTCCAAGTTCCAGGAGATGAGGGAGAGGATTAGGCTACAGCAGATCACTTCCGGTGCTCGACACAAGGCTTATGGGGAGATTGATAGATAAGCCTAGTGCTAAAGCATTTGTATGTTACTTTTCCTGTACTTTTTATTTTCCTTGGCTTCCAAGCTTAGTGTTAGGAATACGCTCAGCATCCACTTTAGTGGTTAGAATATGCTGTAGCAAGTGGGAGTCCCCTTTGCCTATAAAGGGAAGGGAGTGTCATTGTAAAAATAAGTCATTGCATTTTCATTCAATTCAAGCAGCCAAGACCTAAGCTGCCCTCTGCTTGTTCCAGATCTGAATCTGAGATCCAATCGAGCCCCAACACCCGTTGCCAATAGCCCGGTGATCGTGCGATGTGCCGTGGCCTAACGGCCCTAAAGCCGCCTCAGGCGAGGATGCAGCCAGATGAGTAGCCACCGACTTTGTGAGGTCCACGTACTCGGTGTCGAACACGCACACCGTAGCAGTATCGGTCAGTGGAGGTCGTGATGCAAGCTGATCCACCTTGTGCTGCAGATCGAGTACAGAGTGTTGAAGCGCGTCGACCTTGCTATGGATTTGGGGCTCCAAACGCCCATGTCGTTGAGCGTGGCGAGGTTGTCGTCGGGGGTGCGCTGGATGGTGGAGTTCTGGGCGCGAAGCTCGTGCATCAGCTTCGTCAACTCGCTGATCTTGGGTTTGGTGCTGGGGCAAAGAAGGTAGTTGGGGACAGATGCCAGTGTAGTGGAGTCGAAGCAGAACACGAATCGGAGAGAAGCAAAGTGCCAGTTGCGCCGCTACCGCCGATCAACTCAACCTCGGCACGGACCAATGGGACCTCACGAACACCATCAGAGGTGATGAACAGAGATCAACCTGCCGTCGGGGATGACGAGTCCAGATCGAGGCGGAAGGGGATCTAGCGACTGCGCACCAGAGAACACGAGATCTTGCAGGATCGAGTGACCTCTGATACCAATTGTTACTATATCACTTCACCTCCATTTGATTAACAACGAGTATGAGTGGCTACGAGTACGAGTGGCAATAGTAAAAGAGGAAAACAAGATTACAACGAGCGCTCGCTCGCTGCCGTCGCCTCCGGCAAGCCGGCCACTCCTTTCTTCTCCGTTCTGTTTCTCCCCTTCTCTCTCTCTCCGTAGTTAACGTCTCCTAGCCGAGTGATTCTACATGGCTCCTCCCTTCTGGCCCACGGTAGCGCAAGTTGGGCCGGCGCTTTCTCTTGGGCCGCTGGTCGGATACTTTCTCTCCCGCGCCATCTTCTTCATCTACACCACCGGCTTCCTGATGCTCATCTTCATTGTCAGGCACCATCGGTGCCGTGACACGCTGCATATTTTCCAGAGAAGTGATGGAGATTTGGAACCTGAACCTCCACTCGAGCCACGCTGTCAAGAGGAAATGGCTAGCCTTGCTGAATGCAGATTATCCAGCCTTTGAGATGAACAAATGGTGAGAGTCTGAGAGATTTCAAAGACGGATCAGAAGAGATGAGAAGGCCGTAGCAAGTCCTGACGGCCCAGCCCAGCCCTTGACATTAGGAATAGGAACTCGATATAATATAGGGAGAACTCAAACCACGACGCAGCCGTTGTTGGGAGGGATCCGTGATGCCTGCCGCAGCAGTTCTGCCGGACGACGCGCTCCGGCGGCCTTGGGCGGACCTCCCTTTGGATCTCCTAATAAATCCGATTGCACCATCGCGTTTCTTACAATAAACTCTTCAAAACAAGACCCTACGTGAATATATTTCGATAAAAAAATTTAGCAAACATTTATCTCATGAAGAACTTGTGTTTAAAGATATAATCGTGGAATATCACATTAACACTACACGAACATCGCAGATAATAGCATAAAACATCATATGTATGCTAAATATCATTTATATCATGAAATCTAAAAAATTAAAAAATAAAAATAAAATTAGTGAAGTAATTAATTGTAGTCAAATAAAAAGAAGAAAAATGCTACCGGACATCACAAATACATTGTAAAATATCACATTAATACTATAGAAACATCACTAAATATAGCGTAGAACATAATAAGTATACTATGTGAATATCACAAAAATCATGCAAATATAAAATAAAATAATAAGATTAGTGAAGTAATTAATTAGAGTGAAATAAAAAGAAGAAAAAACGCTACCGAACATAAAAAAATGTCCTAGAACATCAACGTATGCTTATTGAACATCACAAAATACATCGTAGAACATCGTATTTCTACTCGTGGACATCGAAAAAGAAATAGTAGAAAGAAAAGAAATAGAAATAGAAATAGAAAAAAAAAAGAAAAACTTATGTAACTTGGGCTGACTGGGCTGTCTGCATCGCTGCTGGTCGTATACGAGCGGAAATTGGGGGGTGGTCGGCGCAGGTTTTCCGTGATCGGCAGGGATGGTTTCCGCCGACCACTAGACCACATGCCTTTTATAAAATATAATTGGATTATTAAGTATATTTTTAATTTTTATTTGGAACCTGAACCTTCAACTTGAGCCATGCTGTCAAGAGAAAATTGCTAGACGCCTAGCAAGTCCTGAGTCTTGACGGCCCAGAGCACAGCCCAGCCCAGCCCAGCCCTTGACGTTAAGAATCGAAACTCGATAATATAGGAAGACCTCAAACCACGACGCAGCCGAGGGATCCGTGATGTCCGTCGCAGCAGTTCTGCCGGACGACGCGCCTTGGCGGCCATGGGCGGACCTCCCTTTGGATCTCCTTCGTGACATCTCGCGCCGCCTCCACGCCACCACCGACTACGTCCGCTTCCACGCCACGTGCAAGCCCTGGCGCGACACGCTTCCGCCAGCGCAGTGCTATCCCGCGTTCCTGCCATGGCTGCTCGCGCCTCCGGACTCCACCAAGCACCGGAAGGCTCGCTGCGTCTTCTCCTCGTCCAAGTCGACTGGCCGTGGCACCGGCGCCGCCACTGATACATCGGTTCCAGATTGCAGGTGGGTGATCAGCCTGGTAGACGGCACTGTGATCTCTACCCTCACCAGTATCTGTTCCGGCGGCCTCACCGACCCTCTCACTGAATCTGCATCTGCATTGGGCACACCCCTACCCCTACCGCCCTTTTCATGTGACCAAGAGACCAAGTGGTGGGTGGACCACGCCAACGGCGTGGTCTCCGGCGACGGCACAATCTTTCTATATTTGATTGTTCCCGTCCGCTGCAGATGGTATTACCTGTGGCCGTTCAATGCTGCCCTCCTGCGTCCGGGCGATGCGGCGTGGACATTGGTGCGTAAAGAGTACCACGGCATATCCTCCATAAACAGGTGCATTGCCCATCACGATGGGAAGATCGTCATACGCAACGGTTACTGGTCTTCCTCCTGCATCGAGACGAGGCAGGTCCACTGGTGGGAGGAGTGGGTTACCGATACCCCATTGCCATCTGAATATGGCAAAGCGTTGCAGTCCAGCTACCTCTTGGAGTCTCGAGGCGAGCTTCTTCTCGCAAATGTCCTAGCCAATCATACGCAAGGTTACCGCTATACCGTGGGCAGCTTTGTCGACGGGCTGTCGGTTTCAGTCCACGTGCTGCAGCAGGCAGAAGGCGGAGAAACACAGTGGGTGAAGAGGGACGGCCGGAGCTTGGCTGATCGCGTCATGTTCCTTGGGAGGCCAAGCAGCTTTGCTGTGGATGCCGCACGGTTTGGCGTGAGCAGTGGTGGCTGCGCCTATTTCGTCATGAAGAGCGAGCTCTATGGGGGGATCTGGAGCAAGATGGCCATCAAGCAGTGCCGTGTGTTCAAGTACAGCTTCCAGGACGATAGGTCGGAATTCGTCGAGCAGCTCCCGGCTGAATGGGACGACGACGCCTGCATGTGGGTCACGCCACCACAACCTTCCATCGCTTCAACTGAGGTAATCAAGTGCAAATCTTAGCTTGCACGATCTCATCTTTAACTATTTATACTGAATTTGTAGTGTTTCTAGAAGAACAACAGTATCAACGTATCTGTTTATCATATCATATATTCTCCTTATCCAAGCATTTATTAGTTACATTCATTTGCATGCAGGAAATTAGAGAGAGGCTTGAGCCTTCACACACAAAGGCTGCAGGAGGGCCACGATTATTTGGGCCTTATTTCAGGATTTATGTGGGCAATCTGCCACGGAATGTGGATAGCTATCGACTGGGACAGTTCTTAAGCAAGTATGGCAAAGTAGCAGAAGCAAGGGTCATGTACCACATAAAAACCAAGCGTTCACGAGGGTTCGGGTTTGTGACCATGGCGACCCTAGTCGATCATGAGCAGGAACAAGCTATTGCTAAGCTGAATGGACAGGTACAGATTTATTGGTGCTTAATTTTTTAATGGCTAATTAGCCAATCGATGCATGATAAACTGTTCATGTTGGATCAATTTTTCAGATTTTGGACGGGCGTCCCGTGCGTGTGAAGCTTGCAGATCAGAAGCAGCCACATGCATGTAGCTTGCTGGTCTAGATAGTTATGTTTAATAATGTCCTGCAATCAGCATTCTTCTAATAATCACCAATGTATATGTATTGTGCAAAACATCTCCTTTTATTGGATCTGTGACATTGAAACATCTCAATTTTAGAAATATACCATCAAACAATCTTAATTCACTTCGATACCACCAAAATTCCAGGGCTATTAGTTTAATAATAAATATGCCAGTCGGTTACCTTGTCTACCAACCCAGTCGCATCACAGTCCTGCCATTTTATTTTAAGTGACAGTCGATGAGTGCTTCAATCTTCCTCCGTGCAGCCAGTTTTTCCTGATAGCTGTTAGCGGCACATGACATGGTCACCTCAACACAACCCTCAAGGTTTGTCTCTTACACCACACCATGCCCGCTTCACAGCGCTCTACTCCTTTCCCTTTATCTTTTTATGGGTGTTGTCTCAGCCCTCTTCCGCTCGGTTGGCCCAGGAATTGCAGATCTGGCCTTGGATTAGTTCATCCTTATAGGGGCAACAAAAACCAAATATTTGTTGTTACTTCAATCCGATTCGTCCCCTACTATTTCTGCGATTAATATAGCTAGGTGGAATTGCTAGGTTGCCTTTTTTTTTTTGGTTTGTGTTACAATTCAGCGGGGTCTGTGCAGCATAAGGTGGAGAAAGATGAGCTGCAAAATTGGACATATCGATGCAGGTTTCGGGCAGAGGCACGCTATGGTGCGGCCTTATTATGCAGCATCTGGTGTATCTGAGCTAGGGTGTCACAGGTTTTTGTTGAGGCGGCCTGTGCTGTGGCTTTGACTTAATTTTTTGCAATTTAGCCATTTATTTTGAAGAAAATTTACGTTTAACCCCATGGGCGATGTAAACCGATCTTTGGACCTTGTGGGTCGGCGCCGTGGCCTACGGCGCCGAGGTAACACGTCTCGGCGCCAAGCGCCGAGATGCCTGGCTGGGAAAAACGCGGCATCCAAGTGGCGCTGACGTGGCAGGTAGGTCGGCGGCGCTGATCTTGGCGCCGACCTCGGAGCCACATATCTTGGCGTCGAGGTCTTATACCTATACCACCAGCCGTCTTCTTCTTCCTACTCTCCACTCCGACCGCCGCCTCCCGCGCCTTCTCTCTCTTTCTCTATGTTTTCTGGCTGCCGCCCGCGCCACCACCTCCGGCCGCCCGCGCCACCACCTTCGGCCGGCAGCGCCACCGCAGCAGTCCGCGGCACCAGCTCCGAGGGGCTCCGCGCCCTTCTCCGCTCCCTCCGCCGCCCTCGTCGCCCCATCGTCCTCCGCCGCGTGCACCGGCGGCGAGGGCGATCCCGCCTCCCCCGGGCGTCCACGCCAGCTAGCGGGCCACCAGTGGCCACGCCTGGCGGCGCCGCCGCCCACCACCCCCACCGGCCGCCGCCACCCCTATCCCTCGGCCGGCCAGCAGCCTCAGGTATGTTTTTATTTTTTTTATTTTTTTTACAATTTAGTTAGTTTAGATAGTTTAGTTAGCTAATTTAGTTATATAGTGATGTAATTTAGTTAGTTAATTTAGGTATTTAGTGAGACAATTTAGTTACGTAGAGGTTATATATTTAGGTAATTTGGATAGATTCTTTGATTGTTAGTTATTTATATACTTTTGTACGTAGTTAATTTAGTTATTTAGTTTATTTGTAAGTTAGATAGTTAGGTAATTAAGTTATATATAGGTAGTACTTGTAATAACTGTAGTTAGTAAAATTAGTTATATAGTTAGATAGATAGCTAGGTAGTTTAGATACTTATTTATTTAGGTAGACAGTGGGATACTTAATTATATATGTAATTTAGTTATACCCTTATTAGTTAAACCCATAGTAACTTTGATGTTGCGCATACCAACTAGATGGACAACGTAGTCACCCTGTATCATGGAGGAAGTGTGGAGGAAGATGAGTTTGGGAATGTCAGTTTTGTTGGAATGCAAAGGGTGCCTCTCATGTTCGATGATCGGCCGTTGTTTTTCTGAGCTGTTTGGTAGTGCTCGTGATGAGCTTCATTGCAATTCAAATGAGGATGTCATCTCAGTTGAGGGGTACTTCACTATGGTAAATCAGGCCATATTTTTAGGCAGTTGGTTCCAATTGCATCAGAGGCTCAATGGGACAAATATGTCAAAACTGTCATGAAGAATGAGTTTCAATGTTTGGATTTGGTTGTGCGGAAGTTGTCCAATGATCTCACCCCTAATGGGCATTCACCCCCTCGTGGGTTCTCTCCAGAACTGGGGAATCCGGCACCTTCTGACCCTCCGTTACCCAACCGCGAGGTGGATGTGGAAGATGTGGTTCTGGTGCTCGATGCTCAATCCGCCCCCGAATGAGGTTGGAGTACATCCCAATGTTCGTGCAGTATGTCGGTCCGATGATGGAGTTGCTGCCCCTCAGGAGACCCCTTTGATCCAGAATCATCCAAGTAAGTGACGTAGTAACACTTTCGCTTTCGTTAGTCTTCTTTCATTCCATTCCTTTGTCTCAATTGTATCCATATTTGTGCTTTATATGCAGGAGACAATCCTGATAATGATGGTTGTCCTCCTGTGCCTCCATCAACCAATGTGGACCCAGGGTTTATAGCCTCTAACAGTGTGGATGTTAATGTTGTGGATGATGAGGATCCTTATGGCACAGCAAGAGCTGTTGATTCTGATGATGACTGCCCAGTTGCACCTTTGAGCGAACAAGAAATGGAGCTCATCAGGCATTTGTGTCCTGATCATGATCCACTAGTTCTTGAATTCAGCGACCTCAGTCATTCTCAACATGCTTATGGAGAAGGAAGAGATGACGAACTGCTAGAGGCTCCTGAGGCCGGTGACAGCGTGGAAATTCAGAACGGCATGGTCTTCAAGGACTTGCCCACCTTGAGAAGGTGGTTACAGGAATATTCCGTGAGACGTAAAAGACCATTCAAGGTGAGGCACTCCTATGTGGAGCACCGTTACACAGTGGTGTGCGAGAATGCAGATTGCAATTGGAGGGTCTGTGCTCGGAAATAGAAGACCACAGGGAAGTTCAAGATAATCAAAATTGTAGGTCCACACACTTGTGCCAAGAAAGATCTAAATCAGAAGCATCGACAATTGACCTCTACCTTCATTGCCAGAAGGTTGTACACAACATTGAAGGGTCAGCCCAACTTGAAGGTCAGGACAATTATGGAGATGACTAAGGAGATATTTAAGTATGACATAAAGTATGGGAAAGCATAGAGGGTAAAGCAACGGGCCTGGAAGATGATATATGGGGACTGGGAGGAGGGGTATGAGCAGTTGCCTGTAATGTTCAATGCAATGAAAGCAGCAAATCCAGGCATACATTACGAGTACATCTCGAAGTGAATGAATGGAAGGACGGGAGGCAGATATTCTTTCGTGCATTTTGGTGCTTTCCCCAGTGCGTCGAGGCCTTCATGCACTGTCGTCCAATGTTATCCATTGATGGTACTTTTCTGCTTGGCAAGTACATGGGCACACTATTAGTAGCCATTTCCTGTGACACAGACAATGCATTAGTTCCTTTGGCTTTTGCTTTGGTGGAGAGGGAGAACAAAGACAGCTGGGGATGGTTCTTGCATCTTGTCCGGATACATGTCATTGGCCCTGGTAGGGAAGTTGGTGTCATATCTGATAGACACCAGGGCATACTCAGTGCCGTACAGGAGCAGATTCCAGGGTATGCACCTTTGCACCACCGTTGGTGCACTCGTTACCTTGCCGAGAATTTACTTCGTAAGGATGGTATCAAGGACAACTTTCCTCTATTCGAGGAAGTTGCTCACAATGTTGAGGTGCCGTTCTTCGAGGAGAAGTTGGAGCAGCTTAAAATGGAAACAAATGGAGAAGGTAGGTAGTGGCTGAGAGGATTGATGAGAGAACTTGCAAAATGGACAAGAGCCTACGACTATGGTGGATGGAGGTATGAGTTTCAGACTAGCAACATGGCCGAGTCATTTAATAGTGTTCTTAAGGGTATACGTGCCATGCCCGCCAATGCTATTGTATCATTCACCTTCTATTGGTTGGTTGCATGGTTTAATGAGAGACACGCTCAAGCAATGGCACTATAGAGGAATAATCAGGTACGGGCACCTAAACCTCTGAAGCATCTAGAGAAGGCAAAGGAAAGGGCTCTCACACATGATGTCGAATGTTTTGATCACAACACCGGCGAGTACTAGGTCAAGGAGCTATATTGTGGTACTTAGTAATTTTCATGCAGATGTGGGAGAACCAGACAGTACCACTTTCCTTGTTCTCATTATGTTGTGGCATCTCAGCATCGCAACTTTGCCTACGAGACCAAGATACCGCGGGAGTTCAGTGTTGACAGCCTTGTACTGACTTGGTCTCCCTGTTTCGAGCCTTACCTAGATGAGGGGTAGTGGCCACCATACACTGGTCCGAGGTACATTGCGGACCCAGGTACACATTGGGACAAACGTGGAACCAGGAAGAGGACGAGACACAAGATGGTCATGGACCAGGTTTCTGGTAGAACGAGGCGAGGCAGAGCAACCCCCTTTCTTACTGACCCCGAGCAGAACCAATGTGGAAAATGCGGGAGACTTGGGCATAATTCATGTACATGCCATTGGCCGCTTAGTCAGGTGCAAGTGACAAATGAACCTCATTTATGAATTGCCGATGCTATTCACTGTACTTCATTTTTTAATTGTCCAATTTGAGAAGCATGTTTACTAGTATGGAAGAGTTCATTATTTCTTTACATTTAACTAATTTGGACTTTCTCAATTTTTTGTAGGATGGAGTCGTTCCACCTGCTGGAGCCGTACTACGAGGAGCACCACCGAGGACGACTAATCGTGGAGGAGGTAACTTATTAAGTCTTGCTTCTTTATTTTTTTGCACTGCATATGTATTTGTGTTCACGAATTAATCTAATAAATTCCGTTGTATATAGGAACTGCACCCTCTTCGTCCTTGAACCCATGATAGGTTCGAGGATATGCGGTATGATGATAGGT